AAGTATTCCATCATGTATGTTACAATTGAGTTTGTGTGTAAAATTTTGCGTTTGTTTCGAATGTATGTAAAATTTCGCCTTTTACTCTCATTAAAAATACCTTTTCTTCAGTATTAAGACTAAGGATTGAATTGTACAACCAATACTTTTTAAACAGCAATATTTTTCTACTCTAAGCGTTATTTTTTTTTTATCAAATAAAATTTTTTGCTTTNTAGATACTTAATACTTTTCACTGTATTTTTAAAATAGCATTTTAATTTGAGTAGTGATAAATTTTCTTTTAGTATTAATAAATTTTATAATCATTTTAATGTATATTATTCGTCATGAAAAATGTAATTGTGCAATTCTTTAATTTCAAAAATGTTTATGCCACACCCCCACACCGTAGAGAATGTGATTAAAAGAAAATTGCTGTGTAGCTCCGGCGAAATACTTGCCATGAAGAAAAAAAAAAGAGTTTTTTTGTGCAAAGTTTTGTTACTGCGTTTGGCAGTTTCGCATTTTATTTTATATTTTTCTAATAACTTTTCACCTTTTTTGAATTGGTGTTCACTTCTTTAAATCTTTGTTACAATTTGTTCCATCAAAAGTCTTCCACGAGTGCATATTTTCCCCAATATTTGATCCTTGTCTTCAGGATTGGGTTCAAAATTACAAGACTACGGCTTTGAACACAGCTAGACAGTTGAACACGGCTAGACAGTTGTAAATTCAAAATTGGGTCGGCTGTTCGAGGATGTTCATAAAAATATATAAAATATTCTTAACAGTATCAATAGATGTAAAATTTTAATAAAAATTAGAAAACTATGCCTAAAACTTAGATTTTAGCCAAAATCGGTTCATGTTTTGATCGATAAATGCAATTTTTATAGCTGAAGTATTCCATCATGTATGTTACAATTGACCAAGTTGAATTGTACAACCAATACTTTTTAAACAGCAATATTTTTCTACTCTAAGCGTTATTTTTTTTTTTTTTTTTATCAAATAAAATTTTCTGCTTTCGCAATGTAATCTTAAGAGGCTTAGAAAAGACAAAAATTGATGAACGTTCAGATGATGTTCATCATGTCAAAACAAATCAATATTAAAATTATAACTTTTTATTTTAATTTCTCACCAGATAAATTATTTTTTTTTATTTCTCACAGAAATTTTCATCTCAACCCATAAATGTACATCACTGAACATTGCGAAGCCTCAAAAAGCAAAAGTAGTACTTTTCAGTATGTGTGACTAAAGTAGAGGAGTAATATTTTTAAATTTTGAATATTACTTCTCTTTCGAGTTTTTTCATTTAGAGAAATTAGGATTTTTTTTGTCTTTGCTAGGACAAAGTTAGTTCTGAGTGTTTGATTTCGCAATCTTATTACAAACTAGCACGAACTTAAAGTAAGTCTGCTAGAACTGTGTATACTGCGGCACTCTAAGAGAAAATGTTCTAATTTAGAACAAAAGGTTTTAAGAATAGCTCTTTTTTTTGTATTTTGATGGTTTGTAGGAAAAGTTAACTACACGATTTAAAAATCTGTCATGATAGTTCTAGGAGTAAAGAATATATTGAGGGCACAGCAATTTCAACCTTTGGAATTGAGCTCCCAGCATCGAGGAGAGGTTCCCCCTAAAGGAAAGTGAGGCAAAAGCAAAGCAGATCTCAAACAATAGTAGTAGTTGCGGTGTAGACCACATCGTCCATAAAAATTCCCCCAAACAATGAACTGCGAACGACCGCCGAATACGAATATCTAATTATGAGATGCTCGAATGAAAATGTCCCACGTGACCTGTCCACGGAATCGAGCATTTCATTCACTTGGAAAAGACTGTTCTGGTCCCGCACAAGGGAACCAAGAACATTTGTTTGTTTTTTGATGGAACCTACGATAAAGAGTCATCATCAAAACCTGAATCTCATCAAATCAGGATGGATGGCTGAAGAGAGATCTTCAGATAGGATGAAAGAGATTTGTCAAGTGAAGGTCTTGTATCAGGGAACGAAGGATTCTTTTGCCTGTGACGCGTTCCTAACTTTCACAGCAATTTGATGTGTTGGCATGTGTGCATTCATTAAGGTTCGTGAAAGGACTATTGTCGATTTTATGATGGTTCATTTGGGTTACTGTAACGAGTTCATAAAGTTCATCGTCGTTGCAGAGAATGTAAACATAGGAACAAAAGGCTTCGAAAAATGATACGGGAGTAAAATCATTTTCGGTACATCGGCAAAATATGTGTCGTAATTAAGTATAACGTTTGAGATAAATATTCATACCTAACATCTTCTTGGAACTACAGGCCAGAGCTGTTCCATCCAGCGGATTCTGTCAAATGCTTTTCTCTTGTTAGTTACACTGTAAAGAAATCCTGAATTAAATTACGGTATGAAATATCTTTCGTAAAATTCATTTTTACTGTAAAATATTGTACAATATTTTTTACAGTAATATTTATCAAATTCGAGTGATTCAGTGATTTTATGGTAATTGTTACTGGGAAAATTACAGTATATCAGATATTTTTTCCGTAACATATGTTCCAGTAAAAATGAATTTTACACTAAACAGTACAGGCACCCTGAGTGCCGGTACTTTTTTTTAAAAAAAAAAAATTTGATCCGGAATTTTTGATTGTCTGCTTTCAATGTCATCAAGTGGAGGTCTTTCCCGCTCTTTAGTACCACCTGACTTGTTGAAGGTCTATACCTTTGTGAGGTTGTAATCTTCTGATAGAAATAAGTGACACAGATACTTTATACGCTTTGACTTGATGACTTTTACTATATCTGGTAGTCTACAGTCATTATTTCATGATTGTTGAGAGAGTGACTGACATTATTTTCTCGGATAACACCAATTTGGCATACTAATTTTCTTTCAAAAATTAGCAGCTTGTTTTTGACATGTTTACTACTTGTCGGATTAGTAATGTCTTCTCACTAAATTTAGTTCTATTACTAATGAATTGTGATATTAGTTGGTTTTAAAAAAAAAAGTAAAGTTTTTTTAAAAAAAAAAGAATTCTACTTCCTTTATGTTAGCGTTAACCTATGGAGAATTACGGGAAAGAAAGTTCTTTTTTTTAATTAAATTATTAATTAATATTTTCGAATAAAGTTAGATATCAGATTTCAAATTTTAAAATTGCAAGTATCTTTAAAATATTTAAAATACTACATTGAATAAGAACGTATCACTGAAGTAAAACGATAAACATTCATAAATATTTGCTAATTACTTACTGAATAAGGAGAATATTCTCATTGAATAACAAGAATGAAATGAAGGAAGTTAAATTCTCCCTTAGTTTTACTGAAGAGGACCATTAACGAAAAAACGTGCTTAGTAAGATAACATAGTTTGGCGTAACCATTTTAAAAATTATAAAAAATTGACGAATATATTTACAAAGAAGATTTTTCTTATGAAATTGAAAAGAAAACTAGACGAAACAAATTGAATCTTGTGTACTTCACAACCGTTTGGAGCTAAGATCTAGAGAATTAACATCTAGTATGATTTTTTTCACCGTGTTTTTAAACTATAGTTGAATTTTTATTGAATAAGAGTTTGCATGTCATTGAACAGTCGATTCCTATTGAATTTGCTACTATTAATGTACTTGTAATTTGGCCTTGTAGTTTCGAACCCTGCCCAAAAGACAACGGAACTCCTGTATCAAGCATATGAACAAACTCGCTTTCGCTGAGGACTTTTTGATAGATATAACCCATACTTACATTACATGGAGAGGAAAACCATGGCAAGGGGATTCTAATTCTTGATCCGTAGTCCATTGTAGACATTTTATTGTATACTTGGGTCGGTGCGAGACGAGAGAAGTATATGAATCTATCAGCTATCACCACTGAACTCAAACCGGGGTTGTTTTATTTTGGAGATTACGCATTAGTGTTTGTCAGTATGCCTCAATACAATAGATGGCAAGGTCAAGATCTCATGATAGTGCGTCATAAAAATAATATATACTAATTCAAAGTGTAACGATTAAGACGATGTAACCTTTACTTCTGACATAAATGACCAATGTACGAATTCCGATAATATGCTGGTTTATTTCGTTTATATATTCCATGAATTCGGTGGTCACATACTGGCACATCTGTAGTTGCAGACGCAATTATGAATTAGAATATTATTTTCGGTCTACTAAGCTTTTCTGTTTTTCTCACAATTTAATGCAAATAAAGTTTAAATTTACTTAAAAAGCTGTTAATATGTAAACATTTTTATAAAAATGTAGGTTGAGATATTGAAATTTGAAAAAGAAAAAAAAAATTATCGGCATAGACATCGGTGATCGGCAGGAATCTCCATCAATAGATTGAATTATCTAAATTATGATGCTTTTAAAAATTAGAGGAAATATATATCGGGAAGTTAAAGTGAAATTCCCCAGTGATTAATCATTACGTAATTTCATAAGTGAATTGAGAACCATTAATAAATGTAAATTAATGACTTTTTATTGTTCGAAAACGATGTATTGCGTTAAAATGCAATATTGTTTGAAATAAAGACAATTTCAATGGTGAGTTTGGAATATCACGTGACTTTGTTTAAATGAAGATATTATGTACTACAACAGATTTTGCACCTCTTTATTGCATGCAATTTGACATTTTAACAATATAAGTGCAGTTATGATTTTTTTTCTTTTAAAAAATACTTGCTACATTAAATATATTCGAATATTTAAAAAAAACTACATTTATTTCAGCATAAGTTGAAATTTTTAATTTTGGTTTTTATAACCTTTCATAAAAGAACTATAAAAACCGGCTCGCTAGGTAAGAAACCTTGCTAACTCCGCCACTCACCCCCCCCCCCCCNCCCCCCCCCCCAACGGATCGTTTTAAAGAACTCAAGTTCCTTTTTCTCTAAAACTTTTCAACTTTAAAAGCTCCGCACTCCTTTCTGGCGGAGCGACAACATCCCACGGCGGTGAGTGGTCGACGGTGGCGCGGAGGGATACACACACAATCCAAAAGAGCAGACGATTTTGTTGACGCCTCTCCGCGAGGCGTGCTGCTGAGAGAGCGTGTGAGTCTCTAGTCGACGCGAAGCAAAGACTATTATTTTGTTCTACACTCACGTTTCTCTCTTTTAATCTTCCATTCCAAATTGCTCATTTTCCCATTATAAATCGATGTCATTAGCATTCAAAAATGATTCTAAAATGAAATAAAGACACCGATGTGTAGTCATTAAAAATAGAAAACGATTAATTTATTCGAAAGGAAACTGATGCATTTGTCGGCGGAGACTAGTAGCGGTAACTCGCGGGATGCGATGGCCGATTTCTTCGTACCCGTCGAACGGACATTGACTGAAGTTTTAAGCGAGCATCCCGGAGAACTAGTAAAGACTGGTAGTCCGAATGTTGTTTGTTCTGCGTTACCGAACCACTGGAGGTCTAACAAGACCCTCCCGATAGCTTTCAGAGTGGTCAGTTTGGGAGAAATCCACGATGGAACTGTAGTCACCATCCGAGCTGGAAATGATGATAATTATTGCGCCGAACTCAGAAATGCGACGGCTGTGATGAAAAATCAAGTCGCCAAATTTAATGATCTCAGATTTGTGGGAAGAAGTGGAAGAGGTAGGATTTAATGTGTATCATATTTAATTAATAAAGGCATTTTAAGAGATCTGAATTTTTTAAGTTGATTTAAATATCATTTATTGGAATGAAAAATTTTAACGTGAATTTTTATTAATTGTTAAGCGGAAATGCGAATGTTTGAAGAATTTTAAAAAGGAAATAACTTAATCAGCACTCAATTAAAAAGGAAAAATAAATAACCAGCACTCACTTAAAAAATAAAAATTATTAACCAGCTTTCGCTTAAAAATTAAATTATTCATTAAAAAAACAAAATATCCATTTATTTTTCATGAATTATTTTTTTCTGCATATCAGCATAAATTTTAAACATTTATGCATTTGAAATAGAAAATCGTAATTTCCTTCACATGAATTCAAGAAGGAAATTAATAAACATTGACTTAGAAATGATAGCATTAAATTCATTAACAATCATTGAATAATCTTAAACAACATTACTTTAAAAACAAAAATTTTAATAAAATCGAATTTCATTTAAAACTAAAATGATTTCATCAATAAGTATATGATTAAAATTGAAAATATTAATTCCTTCAGCATTCTTCATTAATTTTTCCTCATTTCTATAACTATAATTGATTCAATGAATGCAATAAATACTATTTTTCCACGCTTGCATAGATATTTTTGTTTATAAGATGTGATATTCAAACAGCTTTTGTCATAACTAATGTAATATCTTGGAATTTAGAAGCATTTTTGAAGTTTGCTGCATATGTTAAGTACGAAGTTCGATAGGTATTATGTAACAGTTTTTTGTTAATATAAACAAGATATACATATACTATACATATTTGAAATATATCCAACGAGTTTGAAAAACACATTATTATTATTTTTTAATTATATAGATTTGAATAAAATTTTGTTTGAATAATCTAAAAAAAATTCTAACTGATTAAAATTTGGGGTAGTAAGGCCTTAAACCATTTTTAAGGTTTTATAAACATTTTTAAACATTTATTTCAAATCGTATGAATTTGAAGAGTAATAAATTTTATGGCAGGTTAATTTTGAGGAACATCAATATAAAATTTTACTTTCATTAAATACCTTAAAATTAGTCATATTAGGTTTACAAAAAGTAAACATTTTAAAAATATTTATAATTTCTAATAGTACAAAAGAACACTCATAAAAAATCACCTGTACTATACCGCCCTCTACGTAAGCAATAAAAAGAGAATTCACTAATTTTGCCTATCTTTAATGTTTTTAACTTACTCTGTCTCCTTCTTTCTATTTACTACGTTGAAATGTTAAGAAAATTTTTCATTAATGTATTGTAATAAAATAAACTTATTACGATACATTTATTTTCCTCAACAAATGAAAAAAAATTAAATACGATAAAAAAGCATCTTATTACAGTAAGTTTCGTACATACTTTTAAAGTATTATATTTATATGCATAGTTAGAATATTGAGCTTGCCTATAAATATTGAGCTTTGGATCTAGAAGTATTAGAAGATATTTGTTTAGTTTCAAGAATTTGAAATTTTGTGAGTGAATGTTTTCGTTAGTATTGACGTTAATTTGTCAGTAATTGTAGTTGTCAATACGAATTATTAATCAATATATTAAGGCTTAGATCAATATATCATTTTGAAATGAATTCAATTATAAAATAAATTACAAAATTAGAACCTTTTAGTATTAAAGCTATTTTTGTGTATCAAGTTGTGTATCACTACACATAAATTTATAAAGTTTTACTTATAGATAATGTTTGTATTAATTGATAATTAAAGATAATAATTCATTAATTTCCCAAAAAATAATTTTGATATTGGTTCAAAATGAAACTCAATGCATTATCTTTAGTTTTTATCATTTCAGTTTTACTGATTATGAAGTTACAATAATGTTTCAATTACTTCGTTATTTTAATTTATTTCATTTAATTTTGTTTTAGGAAATATTTAATTTAATTTAAAATGGATACAACTTTGAGATGACTTCCTTACTTATGTGGACACTAATTTAGAGTGGAAGAGTATTATTTTAACTGAAATATTTTTGATATAACTTTTTTGTTTAGTTTGTTTAATTAATAAAATTAATCTAACTAAAATTTTTGGAGAAATTTGTTTTCAGAAATTACTTTCAAATGAACTCGCAGTTGAAGAGTTTACTTTTTAAAAAATATTAATTTTGATAAATTAATAATTGAAGAACATTCCTTTGTTCTACTATGTTTAAGAAAAAGTGGTTTCAAATAAGTAAAAATGCTATGAAACAGTTTCTCGATGTTTCGAAACATTTTGAAATTTACTTTAAAAAAACTACTAAACTGGTACTTTTTTACGTTCTTCTAAAGTTCTTTTGTTATTGTACTCAAAAAGCAAATAAATATTAAAAACACTTTTTAAATTTCTATCATTTGTACTTATTCAATTCTATATAGTTTAAACATGTAAATTAAAGTACTTTGCTTAGCTATTTTTTAAAAACTATTCTAAAAATTTCACTCAAATTGCATTCAAAATTATTTATTTATAAGAGAACAGATGTCCAAAAACTAAAGAAATATGCCTTCAATAAAAATATTATTCTTAAAATGCGTTCTCTCTCTAAGATCTGGGTTTTAAAGTAAATTCTGAATAACTTGCATACCATTGCAAAACAATATTTTTTTTAAAAAGTTTAAATGTTGTTTTGACAAGAAATTGTCTTTTTGATTTTAAAATAAATATATATCTCGTCATTCTTAATTTTAGTTCTTAATATCTATAATGCATGCTTTTTTGACAAAAAAGTGAAATATATAACCAAGTTAGAAAAATAGCATTCCATAGGCTAAAAAGCTGATGCTCAAGACCAGATGAGGGCAAAATGCAAAAAAAAAAAAAAGTGATCTTAAATCTAGGCTTAAAAATTAACTAAAATTATCCAATATTTTCAGTAAAAAATAAATAGGCTTAGACAAAAAAATATAAACTAAAATGGTGATTTATAACAAATAGTAGCTAATTTTGCGTTTTAAACATTTGTTGGTTTACAAAATAAAATCCTGGAAGATACAATTTGAATTCGGGGTTCAAATTTGAAATTTAAGCTTACTGTAACCCTTTTATGAAAGAATGAATGCTTTTGGTAAAAAAAAGTAGCTTCCCCATTTTAGCTGTAAAAGCTTTGTTTCTGTTACCCTGCTGGTAAATAGTCTCAGAACACAAGATATTTTAGAACATCTTCAATTTTTTATTAAGAAAAATATAAAAAAGAGTGAATTTTTTTTTGCCACTTTAAACAATGCATCGATATTTTNTAAACACTCAATTAAAAAAAAAAAAAAATAGCTAACCAGCACGTACTTAAAAAATAAAAATTATTAACCAGCTTTCGTTTAAAAATAAAATTATTCATTAAAAAAACAAAATATTCATTTATTTTTCATGAATTATTTTTTTTCTGCACATCAGCATAAATTTAAAACCATTTATGCATTTGAAATAGAAAATCTTCATTTCCTTCACATGAATTCAAGATATGAAATTATTAAACACTAATTTAGAAATGATAACATTAAATTCATTAACAATCATTGAATAATCTTAAACAACATTACTTTAAAAATAAAAATTTTAATAAAATCGAATTTCATTTTAATCTGAAATGATTTCATCAATATGTATATAATTAAAATTGAAAATATTAATTCTTTCATCATTCTTCATTAATTTTTCCTCATTTCTATAACTATAATTGATAGAATGAATGTAATAAATACTATTTTTCCTCGCTTGTATAGATATTTTTGTCTATAAGATGTGATATTCAAACAGCTTTTGTCATAATTAAAGTAATATCTTGGAATTTAGAAGCATTTTTGAGGTTCGCTGCATATGTTAATTACCAAGTTCGATATGTATTATATAACAGTTTTTTGTTAATATAAACAAGATATACATATACTATACATATTTGAAATATATCCAATGAGTTCGAAAAACATATTATTATTATTTTTTTAATTATATAGATTTGAATAAAATTTTGTTTGAATAATCTGAAAAAAATTCAAACTCATAAAAATTTGGGTTAGTAAAGCCTTGACCATTTTTAAGGTTTTATAAACATTTTTAAACATTTCTCAAATCGCATGAATTTGAAGAGTAATAAATTTTATGTTAATTTTGAGGAACATCAATATAAAATTTTACTTTCATTAAATACCTTAAAATTAGTAATATTAGATTCATAAAAAGTAAGCACTTTTTGAAATATTTCTAATTTCTAATAATACAAAGGAACACTCATAAAAAATCACCTGTACTATACCGCCCTCTACGTAAGCAATAAAATAAATTCGCTAATTTTGACCACCTTTGATGTTTTTAACTTACTCTGTCTCCTTCTTTCAATTTATTTCGTTAAAATGTTAAGAAAATTTTTTATTAATGTATTGTAATAAAATAAACTTATTACGATACATTTATTTTCATCAACAAATGCAAGAAAATTAAATACGATAAATAAAAACATCTTATTACAGTAAGCTTCGTACATACTTTTAAAGGATCATATTTTTATACATAGTTAGAAAATATGCTTATAAATACTGAGTCCTCCGGGATGTTTCCCAGACCGTCGCCAATAGCCCATTGTGCAGCTCTAGTGCGGCGTAAATTAACAACATAAATACTGAGCTTAAGATCTAGTAGTATTAGAAAATATTTGTTTAGTTTTCAAGAATATGAAATTTCGTGAATGAATGTATTCGTTAGTATTGACGTTAATTTGTCCGTAATTGTAGATATCAATATATAAAATCATTAAATTTGATAGCAAATACGAATTATTAATCAATGTATTAAAGCTTAGATCAATATATCATTTTGAAATTAATTCAATTATGAAATACATTACAAAATTAGAACCTTTTAATATTAAAGCTATTTTTATGTATCAAGTTGCAGAAGCTGACTACGCATAAATTTATAAAGTTTTACTTATAGATAATGTTTGCATT